AGCACTGCTCTCTGCGGAAAGTCAGAATAACAGCATTCCATTTAGCCGGACTAAAAATCATTTTAAAAAAGGCAGCTTTCAAAAGTGAATTTTCCCTCTTCTTCTGGGCAGATTATGCACATTATACTTATTTTATTAATTAACTTTTTAAAGCCAGGCATTTATTTTTGGCTTCTTGAGAGCAAATCAGTTTCTTGTTTCAGACTTTTCTCCTCCTGAGTTAGTGTCTTAAAAGATAACCATGCTACTCAAAGCACGAAGCCACCTTGAGTTCTAGAAATCGAATCCTTTTATCTGTAGAACGTATTCTGAGCTTGATGAGGAGAAGTGGGTAGAGCCCAGCCTCCTGGGTGTCTCCTGATTTTAAACAGTTGGATTTTTATCCTTCTCTCCCAACCCCTTCCCCTACACACAGGACCAAAACCCTTGATAGAAGGAGACTGCAATCCAGTTTTTCCTGTCCTGCTGGCTTTGCTTTCCATGTTTCTCACTGGAATGTGCCCTTTGTGGTTCCTGGCCTCCGCAGATAGCTCCTGTCTGGCTTCTGACTCCTCCAGTGTTGGTGAAAGTAGGGAGCCAGTCGAGGAGGTTTGGTCTGTGAAGCCCCTGTTAGCGGGACTGGGCTGGGGGGCTGTAGCAAACAGTCTATCAATGATTTTCTTAAAATGCAGTCTGTGTGATGAGTGAATAGAGAGTGAGTTGAACTGAGTTCTGTCTGAAGATAAGGGTTTCATCCTTATCATTGGGTGGTTTTCCTGGCCCTGTGTACTTATCTGTCTTTCTTGGGTGGAATTCTCTGATGAGTTGATACTTACTTTCAAGGAACCATCCCACGCCAGCAAGCCCTTTCCATACCAGTCAGCTACTTTCTAGAATAGTTTGCTCTGCCCTCCAAAGTGTCACCGTGTCTCCATATTTCTTTCCCTCAGAACCTAGGAAGCATCCTTCTTAGCGATGCTTGGGAGCGGGGTGGGGGGTAGGGGGTGGGGGGAGCTGCCTTGTTTCCTAATGCATGTGAATGGTACTCGCAAAAGGGTCCAAATGGAGCACCTGTAATCTCGATCTAGCTCGCACTAGCTCACCAAACCCGATGCACACAGGCGCAGCAGTGTGGATGGCTGCAGCTTAGCATCTTACGGGTGGCACAGAGTCCCTGCCAGGTGCGGCGGTGCGCGTGTGCAGCATCGTCTTTGTCTTCCTCCCTCTGCCCCGCCCTGCCAGATACCCGGCTCCCGCGTGAACTGGGCCTAGGACAGTGCATATGCGGGTGCTGCGGGCACCCTGCAGGACTGGCGGACGATCTGGACCCAGGGTACTCTTTAGCCGAGCCACCAGTGTCAGGCCTTGGGGGACAACAGCACAGTGACTTCTGTCTCCTACATTCAATTAGATCCCTGGAGCCAGAGCTTTCAAAAGCAAGCTATAAAATGCTCATGTGTCTTTGTCTTTACTAAACCTGTCTCTGAGCTGCATGGGGAAACTCTTCTAAGCAATTTTTAATTTTAAAAGGCTACCCTTTCCCCCTTGAGCCAAGAAGAGAAAGGTGTCTGAGCACTAAAAGCTTAGGTAGAACAATGTTATTTTCTGCTGTCTCTCCCTCAATGACTAAATGCAATGTTATCCACCTAGTAAAGCTGTGATTATGGCTGGATTAGATTATGCTGGTGGAGACACACAAAGGAAAACTAAGTGTCATGAGGTACCCATTTATTTGTACTCTTTCTCTAAGTTAAAAACTCCTAGGACTTTCAAATGGACAATAAAAATAATCACAAAATTGTCTCCTGAAATGGAAATAGAAACTACTCCCAAGCCTGAGCCATTGTCTTATTTTTTTGAAATCAGCTGCTAAGTCTGTTAGCACCCCTGGGTGCCAGGCTATGGCTGGAGGAGTCAGCACTCAGCTTCAGGGTGGTGTTCCTCAGCGAGTCTGTGAGGACCATGGGGATAGCACAGCCTGCCGGGTCATTGTTCCTGCAGGGCGGTGACCTCTAGAATTAGAACCTGCTGGGCCAGAGGGAAGTCGGCTTCACAATGGGAAAAGATGTTTACAGATGTTTATATCAGATAGGAGAGGGAGGGCTCTCGGATTATGTAAGGGTTACCTTCTGAGTTTCAGTAAGAAGAGGGCTTTTTTGTGATAGTGTGGCTCATTCCTAGTTTGTGGCTGGGCAGTGGTTTATAGTACAGCCTGTGGTTAAGCAGCCAGACCCCAAGGGAACCATTTAACCTCCGCAGTGATTGTCCTCAGGATCGGCCAGGGGTCTTTGCAAAGAAGGAGCGGTGGAGACTGCAGTGTGGAGCACTCTGTCCCCTGCCAGCCCCACTCAGCCAGGCACCGTGGCCTCCCAGGCTCTGAAGTTCTGTCCATTTCCCTTCCTCCACTCAGGACATGAAACCCCACCACTCTTGTTCACTGAGGAAGGAGCCTCAGAGAAGTGCAAGTCAGTGACCCTCTCAAGGGTCGGTTTCCCTCTTCCTGTCCTGTCCCAGTCAGGATCAAGCTGCCGACCACAATGTAACTGGGAGGCCTGAGGAGTCCCTTACACCTGGGTGTTATTTGGATGTCATTGTGGGTCAAGAGGGGAAGCTGGGCACAATTCACCCATGCTCCAAAAAGGCATCAATGTGTAAGTTAAACCAAAAAGGTCACCAGGACAGAACGGACCTCTGCTCCCTGGGGGCAGCCTATGCTTCTTTGATGGCACCCTGCTCAACAAATGCAGTTTGAGTTAGATTTGGAAGTGGCACAGTTCCACAAGTCACCTGCCTTGTCCTTCCTAGTATTTATTCCTTTATTTTTTGGAGTCGGGGTTTCACTGTGCAGTTCAGGTTGGCCTTGAACCCACTCTGTAGCCCAGGCTGGCTTCACTCACAGCAATCCTCCTGCCTCAGCCTCCTGATGTTAGAATTATAGGCATGTACCACCATGCCCAGGTCCTTTAACTTATTTTTTACTTTTCAATCTTAATGTTTTTTCCTTTAATACTAATGCAAACAACTCTCTTCTTTCCTTTGTTTTCCATGCTGTATTTCAGACACTATATTGTCATTTATTAGCTTAGTATTAAAATTCTTAGCAGGAAAAAATGCAGTTATGTCAGTACACTCTTGCACAGAGGTGCAGAAACATAATGTGCAGTTATCTGCCATGTAGATAAATTTCTCCTTTTTTCTACAGGCAGACATCCTAATTTTTGAAAATGTAAGCAAAAACTCTGTGAACAATGAATCAAAGATGGTAGGGCTGTGCTGATACTGTCAAGCAACCGTGTCTGCTCGTGGGAAGCCACCTTGTCTGAGGTCTCTGGGAGGAAAAAGTCCTTTGACATCTTAGCCACTTACGTGGAGGAGGGAAAGAAATGACCAGGATGCTACAATGGGGGGGGGGGGGCGGGCGGGGTCACAGATGCATACAAAGGTTTTCGGGTTTAATTGGATTTGTCTAGTAAACATTGTCTCCACAGTTTAGAAGCAGATATTGTCCACTCATCACCACCCCACAAAAAAATTATTCTGGCAACTATTGCCTGTTTTCCCAGGGAAAGCTCAGTGTCAGCAAGTGTGGAAGAAAGAGCTGCACTGTGAGACTGTGGGGTTGGGGGAGCTCTCAGATAAGCAGAGACACAGTCACACTCAGAGGGCAGACTTCTGTGTCCAAGGCAGACGTGAAAGCAGAAGTCCACAGCTGAGGTGCACCAGCAAGTAAATGCCCACTTGCTCTCTCGGTGCCGCAGTTATTCGTGGAATGCTTCTTTACTGTCAACCCACCTGGCCCTTGTGTGCTGCCCCCCATTTAGAAAACAAAATAACCTGGCTAAAATAAAAGAACATCTTTGAGATTTTCTTTTAAGCCAGAGCATGTGTGCCTGTCCCTGTTTTGGAGGACAGTGTTGGGAGAAGACTTTGGCCAAGGAGTCAAAGGAGAAGATGACTTAATTTGCAGAGGTGCATATGAAACCCTTCTGTACCCTGCCCCTTGGCCCCCGGACATGGTGTCCACCCCTCCCTCTTCCTGCTAGAGTCTGAAGTGTAACCAAAACCCTGCACCTTCATTACAGATTCATTACAGTGCCCGGCAGGCACCTACCTCTCCACGGCTCTAGGTTTGCAGCTACTCTGAGAGCTCACCTGCCTCGAGAGACAGACAGCACTGTGTTTAGGGAGAGCACAGTCAGCTAAAAACCATAAATTACTGAAATGGGAGCAGGGCTCCATCCTTCCCTGGCCACCCTACTATGCCCAAAGGTGAATCTGCTACCGAAATGAGGCAGCCTTGCCTCAGCCTCCATCCAAGGCGTGTTGACCCTGAGTCCACCCTTCTCTGCTGGGCAGCTCGGTCAGAGAGTTGGTGGCGGTTAATCTTGGCAGTCACAACACAGGAGTTCTTTCCAGTTTCCCCAGGGATGGAGGGAAGGCATCAGACTTTGAAGACCTGAATTCTAGTTTACTTCTTAAGCCCATTTTAGGCTGGAGGGAGAGAAAAAACAAGGAGTGTGGGAAGCTCCCTTGGTCCAGTTTGCAGAACTTGGGTGCTTGACAGAGCATTGGGCTGATGGTCCTTGAAGCAGGACACTTGTAGTGGAGGAACCAGGTGTCGTGGGATGTTTGCCACAGTTGGTTCCAAATTACCGTGTTCACTCTGTGCTTGTTCAACTTGGGCCCCAAAATATCAGGGTTGATGGGCAATGCTGCCCCTCGCATCTGTAGGCTATAGGTGGCCTCTCGCTGTCCAGTGCTCCGCGGGGCATGCGCTCCAGTTCACCTGGAACCTGACAGCTCCATGCACCAGTAATTCCAGCATCCATTCATCTTTATTTCCTTTTTCTTTTTTTTTCGGCTTTCAGCATCCCATGCTTTGAGAAGACCTGTGTGACTTAAGAGTGAAGTCTTATTTTTTAAATTGTTTTTCAGACATTTCATGTTCATGTAAACTTGGCTTATTGAGTTCCTGATTTTTTCTTTATTTTTTTTGTTTTGTCCATTTTATTTTCAATCAGCTACATCAAATGGGTCTTTGGAGGGCCTGGATAACCAGGAGGGAGGGGTATGCCAGACGAGAGCCATGAAGATCCTCATGAAAGTTGGACAAGGTAAAGACCGCCTGCCACTCCTTGAGGCCACCATCACACCGATGGTGACCCCCACCTTCCTCCCTGTCCTCCTTCCTGTGAAAGCAGACACCCCATGCAGATAGAGACCCTCTACCTGACGTACTAAGCGTCTCTCACTGGAGATCTCTCTAAAAGTTAGGTCAGCTAGGCCGAGCGTCTGTTGCCTTCCAAGGTCCGTTTCCTTTAAAAAACAAAAACTATAAAACCTGTTCGGTTCAGAACCTACACCCCCCAGACTCTGTATCGCATGTCTCTGCAGTTTGCTGATTTCTCCAACTTGACTGCTGACGAGCGTTGTGTCTTTTCACAGAGATAACCTATTGTGCAGAAAGAAAGATTTATTCTTCTAATTAGCAATCAGTATAGTAGTCAATCAACTTGCTCAGTTAAATTAAAATGTCATCTGCAACACTTTGCCTGCCAAATGCAAGATTCCCTATAGTTCCCACAGATGGCCCACAAGCTAAACCTCTGAAATAACTAGCGCGACCATTTTGTCTTAAAAGGAAAATTTTATTCTTGTATTTCACAGTGCTTTGCATAAAGAATCTTATGTTCATGGCTATTCATGCTTCTCGATATATGTACAGAACTAGATACAGTTGGATATCTATCTGTGCTGAAATTAATCACTTGTTTTTTGCATAGATGCGAGTTCTGCTGGATCCACTCGGAACAGCGGTCCCACGAGACGTCCAGAACTAGAAGCTGGTACAAATGGAAGAAGTTCAACAACAAGTCCCTTTGTAAAACCAAATTCAGGTGCGCCAGTATGGTCTGGGGTGCGGTGGTCGGTGTGTACCCTGTTCTTAGCGTGACAAGAGGTGGAACAGGGTCCAAGCCCTCCTGCCCTGGCTGCATTAACTAGTTATTCCAGACATCAGTAATCTCGGCTGTCAGTGAGTCAGTGTTAATTACACTGTGTGAGGCAAACGACTTCATTCCCATGAAAGTCTCCCTGTCCGAAGGGTAGAGCGCATCAGGTGTGAGGGCCAGTTATCAGCACTACTCTGTCAGACCCCAGTTTTCATTGGCTGAGGATTTTTCAAGCTCGCTGTCATCACGGGCTTAAAGCTGTGTTAATGTATATATAATTAATGCTCTAATCCCTCATCTAATTACACGTAATCCTCAAAGAGTCAAACCGCTCCCCTTCTGATTTTTCAGGTGGTAACAGTTTAAAACACTGCACCGTGCCGTTCTTTGCTGGTAGCTAGCACTGGTTTTCTCCCCCCATATTTTCTGTATATGAGATTAAACAGCTCCCTGACCAGTGTTTAAAGTAGCAGACAGGATTGACTGGCATCGGACTTTATTTCTGCAACACTCTTGGAACAAATAGCTGTGTACTGGTTGCCATGCTAATGAATTTTTCATCTAGTGAGCGGACGTCAGCAGATCTGCATGAGAGCTCGCTTGGTACGGCTTAGCATCTGCAGCAGTATTCTGTCTCTTTCCAAGAGTCAGGGACAGAGCTGTTACTTCTAAGTTTCAATGACAAGAGATGTCAAATTCTTGTGACAAACTGATAAATGGATAATATGCTGATGCCAGCCAATTTTTAGTGCTTAACATTTGGGCTGGCAGCCTGTTCAACATGAGTTGCTGCTGCCTCCAACTATAATTTAAGTGTGAATCAAATAATACAAACCAGTTACGAGTGGCACCTTCTCCCGCCCCATGGCTCCTTCCCATTGTCACTGGGGAGCCAGGCAGGGCGCTGTGTGGAAGGCAGGCTGTACAGATGAACTCCTAATGCTAGGCCAAAGCCAGGGTGGGTGACAACCCCTGCAGCAGGCACCTACTCTCCTGCATCCTCCCTCGCAGGTCAGGACTCCACCCAGTGCACTCCATCTGGGGCCCTGGAGCCGCTGTCCTGGCATATTCATTCCTCCCCACGGGTACCGTTAAGCGTCCTGCACACAGCTGGTGGGCCTGGGGACCGCAGTAACCATGTCTGTGCCTCTCCCGTGCCCCCAGGTTCCAGCACAGACGGCAGCAGTGCCGGACATTCGGGGAACAACCTCCTCGGTTCCGAAGTGGCCTTATTTGCAGGGATAGCGTCAGGGTGCATCATCTTCCTCGTCATCATCATCACGCTTGTGGTCCTGCTGCTCAAATACCGCCGACGGCACCGAAAGCACTCACCCCAGCATACCACCACGCTGTCTCTGAGCACGCTGGCCACGCCCAAGCGCGGTGGTGGTGGTGGCAACAACAATGGCTCGGAGCCCAGCGACATCATCATCCCGCTCAGGACTGCGGATAGCGTCTTCTGCCCGCACTACGAGAAGGTGAGCGGGGACTACGGGCACCCGGTGTACATAGTCCAGGAGATGCCCCCGCAGAGCCCCGCCAACATTTACTACAAGGTCTGAGGCCCGGTACCTTCCCTCCCAGACCTGGGTGGCCGCTGCTGCTGCCACCAACGCCTCGTCGTCGTGGTCGCTTGGTCGCCCGGTAGCCTGGTCTGACTGAGCCCGGTCGCGGAGCCGGAGAGCCTCACGCTGGAGAAGCCCTGGAGCTGGACAGCTTTGTAGTCTGTAGCATTTCGGCCTTGGTGACCGGTGACCGCACATCTTCCCCAGGAGCTGGAAGACTGTGGCCGCAGGTGCCACTTGGACAGATGGCAGCACACGTCCCCAAGCCATGAGCCACGGTCTCGCAGGCCTCGGGGCACACGAGGAGGTGCGGACAGGGCCGGGCTGTGCAAGCCCAGCCTCTCTGCTCAGCATCTCGCCTGCCGGGTGTGTGGACTTGGCCCTTGGACCTCGGGCTAAGTGTGGCTTCCCAAGATCATTAGCGTTCAGTCCTCACTGTCTCACTCCTTCTGTTCCCCAGGGCTCTGCTGCACCTCGCCGAGCCCTCCCTTACCCCCTCATCCTGCGTCACTCCTGGGACACGCTGTGAGTGGCCTGCTCTGAGTGAGCAGGGTTCATTTTGGAAAGCTGGAGGGTATCCTGTCGGCCAGCCAGGCCACCATTGAGGAAGAGGAGGAGCAGTGGGGAGAGGCTGACTGCCTTTGACCCAGAGAGGGACGAAGGAATGGAGCCCAGGCAGGGCTGAGGTTCAGGGAGACAGCAGAACCAGGGGGCATCGGGTGGGCGGGCAGGGTGATGTGGGCTCGGCCATCCGCCAAGGCAGGGCAGGGCAGGGCAGGGCAGGGAAGGGCAGGGCAGGGCAGGGCAGGGCAGGACGATCGCGGTACTGGAATCAGACGCACAACTCTGGAGCTGTAGGGAGTCGGTCTGCTCAGGGCAAGGTGGGAGCAGACTCCGCTGCTATACTTACACATGTGATGAAACACAGGGAAAGCGTTTAGAATAGCAGAGAGCCAAATCTGACCCAGACATCAAAAAGCCAAAAGGTCTGGCAGGCTGTGGTTCCAGTCTCCACCAATGTCAGTCAAGAATTCTCAGATCCACAAAGGTAGGTCAGATCCCCCATCCCCAGAGCCTGGTCTCTGCCTCGCCCCCTTGAGCCTTACATACTCTGGTTGATGGCGGTGCTGGCGATGCTGCCGGGGCTGCAAGCGAGGCTGTGGGGGGACAGGGTCTAAGAGAAGCACATGGCAAACCTCTCAGAGTCCTTAAGACAGAAGTCCATGACGATGTTGAGGGGAGAAGGAAGATAGGACGTATTTATAATAGGTATATAGAGCGCAGGGGATATAAGATGAAAGATTTTTACTAATATATATTTTAAGATTGCACACAGTACACACCAGAAGATGTGAAATTTTATTTGTGGCAATTAAGCAATCCTGAGGCTCAGTGCTTTAAAAAAAATTAAAAACAAACAAAATTGGTCAGCTCCTGGGGAACACAAAACAAAAAACCAGTAACCACTCCAGAAATAATAATCGTGAGAGTTAAAAGGAAATGACAGTCCTCAGAAGGCAACTCACAGAACTGGTGACTGGGAAATGCAAGCATGCAAGCCCCAACATGGGACATCAGTGCGACTGTGTCATCCAACCTGGACAGGGTGTCCGGGTGCCCGTCTCTGTGTCGGGTTTTTCCTTGCCTTATGGGCTGGAGTGTTCCCTAGTATCCAGGAGGTCACCCAGAGGTGGTGCCACATGGTAGTAGCTGTGACCCCTTCTCCTCTCCCTTCCCCCTTCCCATCCCACTCTTGCAGCAGAAACCGAGAAGAGGAGACAGGAAACCTCCTTTTTTTATGTGCTATGCAAAATAGACATCTTTAACAGAGTCCTGTTACTATGGTAACACTTTGCTTTCTGAATTGGGAGGAGAAAAAAGAAAGGAAGAAAGAAGTGTAGCGACAGCGTTTTGAAGGTTCTCAGACCTCCAGTGAGTACCTACAAAAAAGCGAGTTGTCACAAAAATGACTAGTCCCCATTTCCTGAACCTGAAAATGTTGGTCCAAAGTGCGTGTGTGTATGGATGAGTGGGTGTGTGCCGTACACGTGTACATATATGTATAATATATATCTCCAATATATATTATATATATTTATATCATAGTTCTGGGGAGGGTTGCCATGGTGACCAGCCGCAGTCCATATGTAATTCTTTCCATCACCCCTGCCTCTCCTTTCTGTGCATTCATACAAGATTTTTCTTGTAAGCCATCTGAAATTCCTCGTAGGATTGGGGAGAGGGACGAGGAGGGAAAACATGGCAAAAAAAAAGGTCTGATTTTGATGAAATCAAGTGTGTGTATCCTCAGTTGGCTACCTTTGGGTTATGTGCTAAACTGTGAAAAAGAAAAAAAAAAAGTTACCCACAACCAATTGAAAATGGAAGTGTTCTGTGTGTCTGTTTTGTGTCTGGTGCAAAAAATGACAATCTACCAACTGTCCCCTTCCTGGAGTTGGTTCCGCTCTGGAAAGTTACTGTAAATGCCTTGCTTGTATCTCATCCCTGGTCTTCGGGATCACACCGCCATGCTGAAGCGAAGAAGGTGTAAATAGGTTCCGAATTTCCTGTCCTTGGATTTGGGGTGTTACAGTAGCCTTATTCACGTTTTTAATAAAAAAAAAAAATACACATGAAAACAAGACAGAAATGGCTTTTCTTATCCAGATTGTGTACATAGAGCAATGTTGGTTTTTTATAAAGTCTAAGCAAGATGTTTTGTATAAAATCTGAATTTTGCAATGTATTTAGCTACAGCTTGTCTAACGGCAGTGTCATTTCCCCTTTGCACTGTAAGAGGAAAAAATGGTATAAAAGATTGCCAAATTGCTGCATATTTGTGCCGTAATTATGTACCATGGATATTTATTTAAAATTTCGTTGTTCAGTTTGTAAGTAACACAGTATTATGCTTGAGTTATAAATATTTTTTCTTCCTTTGTTTTATTTTAATAGCCTGTCAGAGGTTTTCAGTCTGCTTTAGTTCCACATCACAGTTAGCTCTTCAGAACACAAGACCCGTGAAGTCACATTCCACATCTGTTTCAAAGCCGAATTTGTTCTTAAAAAAATAAAATATTTTTTTCCTATGGAAAAGGTGCCTTCAAAGTATTTTCTTTTTAGTTTTCTTTTGATTTTTCATTCTTTTTCATTTCTTGCTTTGATTTGCCCCCAATCCTCTGTTTCTCCACAATGATGGTGATCTGGAGACAGTGCACACCCAAGTTTGAGGGAGTCCTCCAGAATCTGGAACCCTCTGGGGTGCCTGAACAGTTTGGGGTGCCACCCATGCGCTATTGTGCCTGGGCGGAGCCCTGGAGAGAAGAGCCGGAAAGGGGTTCTCGTCTTGCACTGAACTGTGGGTGACTTCCTTTGCACTGAAGCAGAGCTGTGCCTTATCAGTGGCTTCAGTTTTATTCTCAGAAACAACCCAAAGGGAGGGAAGAAGCCAGCTGTCCTTTGTCCAAATGTAGTAGCATCGATGCAATCACATTGGTGACCCTGGATCCAGCTGGGCCAGAGACCAGAAATGAGGATCCAAGTCTGCTCCCAGGGGGACCTGGGGGCCGCCTGTGGTCTTCGGGTCCATGTCCTCGCTCCCTGGGGTACAGGCTCTGCAGCCCCAGGCTGGGAGTGCGGGAATCTTCGTCCACCTCACCTCAGTTCGCTATCACCAGAGGGAGTGACAGGCTAGGCAGCAGGTTGGGAGGCTCCTGGGGTTAAGGGGCAGGCAAGGTTCTGGCCCAACCAGGAGAAGGCCTTGTGGCCTTCCCAAGAAATCCACATGGGTTGCCAGGTTGGGAGCGAGGGTTCTGTCAAGCTCAGTTCTCACACTGAAGAAATGCTTGTTAATAAACACACTCTGTTAAAAAGAAATCCAGGAGGCCTCCATTTTTGATTGATGGTAGAATGGTTGTTTCATTTCTACCAACTGATGCCACGAAGCCCAGTGGTCCTGAAGCTGCAGGTGGAAGTCAGGGCTCTCTAGCCCCAGTATCTTAACTGGATGCTGGATGTAGCAAAATTCAGGTTTCATCTGGGCAGAAGAAAAGGACCCAGTGTTGTATGTTCTGCTTCCACTCAGCACCTGTGTCCCAGTGTAACTTCACAGCAAAGCGGTGTCATGTTTTTAACCTCTCTTCTGGGATCACGACGGAATCTGCCAAGCTCGGTGCAGAGAAGTAAACTGAGTCCAGGGCTTGCCGGGAGAAGGCATGGGTCCTGCTCAGGCTCCTCACGCAGGTGGCTGAGCAGACACCTTGGTCCGGCTGAAAGGCAAGGTCTTTGCACAGTGCGCTAGCAGCCCGTGCCCTTGGAGACAGGGCCCTGCTGTCAGCTCTCTGCTGGGGGACGACTTGCCCCTTCTGGAAGAGGCGGCTGGTCTACCATGGAAAGACCCTTCTCCAGGTAACTGCTGTCCACCTGCTGCCAGGAGAGGTAAGGTCCCAAGTAGTAAGATGCCCACTTTTCCACTAACATTAACAACGATAATTGCCATACTTTTCAGTTGGGTAGTAAATAGATCTTTCTTTGGCACAAACGAGACACAAGGGTGTCTTCCTGAAAGAGTTAAGGATACCATATTAGTGACCCACGTGTCATGTTTATAGCAGCACAATTCATAACAGCTGACCCTTGGAAGTACATGCCCATCAACATGGATGGATTAGGATGGATTAGGAACATGTTTACATACAATAGAGTGAGTACCAGTTTGAGGGGAAGTGGGCGCACCTTGGCCTGTAATACTGAGTGAAATAAATCAGATACACAAGCTTAAGTGCTGACATGATTTCTCTTATGTGAGACACCCAAAATATAAGCAAGGGAAAAATAGGAAGTAGGGAGATCGTTTTCCTTGGGGAGGGCAAGTGAGAGATGCAGGGGAGGAAAAGAGGCTTTTTAAGAAAGGAATTTAAAAATGGAGATAGAAGACAACTCACTCAGGACCTCTCTGGCTCTTTTAGAAACTTTCCTTCCCAGTAAATATAATATTCTTTTTTTTAAAAATTGAGATATTTTATTTTATTTTTTGAGTCAGGGTCTTGTTATGCAGTTCAGGCTGAACTTGAGCTCACATTGTAGCCCAGGCTGGTCTCAAACTACAATGATCTTCCTGCCTCAGCCTCCGGAGTGTGAGATAGAGCTCTTGTGAATGAGAAGGGGTCCAAAAGATGGGAGGAACAGGGAGAGCAAGGAGAGGAAGGGGTCGAAAAAATAATTCAGATGTATCGTGCACAAGTGCCAGCTCCCCATGGGGAGCACAGTCATTAGGTGCCGCAAACGTGGGTGCAGGAAAATAAATTTTTAAAAAAGAGAGAAACACAGTATGCATTCCTCAGGACAGCCTACCGTGTCGGTTCAGTTTGGATTGTAGTGATTTGGAGTTTTGCTGTGATATTTACACCGTCTGTTCCCCTACAGAGGAGTTCTCAGTGTTGGGTTATCAAGATGCATTTCCCAGCCCTGCTCTAATACAGGTCAGCAGTCTCTCATCAGTGCTGGGGATGGGGAAGCATTAAAGGGCGATATTTATTCCTAATGGAATGTAATAAGTGAGGCAGAGGAGTCGATGTTTTAGTGACCAACCTGTGCTCCAAAAGCCAAAGATGTATCCAGCTCAAGATTTTTCATACTTGGGTAAATTGCAAAATCTCTTAAGAATGCTTCACTCAAAGTCCATGATATATATGTATAAAGCACCCTTCTCCCCTTCTTAATAAATCTGCCAATGTGGAATTGCATGGGCAGGGGAGACAGCGGGCCTCCACTGCTGTTTGGCCCATTCTGTGCGGCTGATTGAAGGGGGTCAGGTGAGGAGCAGAGCGGAGCTTTATCAGCCTCTTCCATCCTAGGCATGGGCAGGGTCCCCTACCCAGCGAGAGAAATGGACTCCGAGAGACTGGAGGTCATCTTCGTGTTCTTGCAGGATTTGAAGCAGAGCCAGCAGCAATTTCCTGTCTACAGAAGTAATCTACCCAAGCCTCTCTCTGTCCAGGTGTCCTTTGGCCGAAGTTCTGATGATATCCAGTCACATACACCTCTTCTGGCTACATTCTGGGGCCCAGAGCTGGGCTGCTCTGCACCCCCTTCCTAGAACGGAAGTCCGGAGGTCTGATAACTTACTGGTTTATTTGTACTGATCCCCTGGAAGCTGCAGGCCCCATGTTTCAGGCCTTGAGCCCTAATGCTTAGGAGGATCTTATTTTATTCAGGTTCCTGCCACCCCGGCCCCAGAACAATAAACACACTCTATTTCCACAGGGCAGCAAGTGGCTGTGGGTTCCTGTGCACCAGACCGCCTGGCCCACTCAGTCTTCCCTGTGGGCTTGTGAAGTGTTGACCTTGTGTTTCTTTTCATGCTCCTGTATGGAATGTATCATTATCACCCCTTGATAATTCACACCTCAGATTCTGTAGTCTGTCCCCCCCAAGAAATCCATGCAAATGAAAACCATCTTTCAGGTGACAATAGAGCTATTACTTTCCCATTCATGCCTAATAAAGAGATTAGAGGGTTTGCTGTGTGTGTTATTGTTAAAGGTGCAGAACGCTTTATCTTCAAAGAAAGTGGAAATGCATGTCTAGCTCTGGCTCTCTCACGTGGGGAAAGGGGAGGAGCACTAAAGCAAGCCCCCTCAGCTGGTCATCCCCCATGGGGTCCCAGGCACAGTACTTGGTCTCCTCATTTTTTATCAGTTTAGTAATCTGCATCTTGTTCAAGATGTTAGGATGGAAGAGCCGTTTCTGTGAGTAGAGCTCCAAACCCCTTTGTCTGACGGAGGTGGTAGGGTATGGTTTAGCTTCTGGCAGGAAGACCGCTCGACCTGGGTGGACCACAGGCCTACCACATCTGGAACACTGCCCAGAAGCTGGGGTTCCTGGCGTAGCCCCTGCAGACTGAACTGCTGGCTCAAAGTAGACTAAATGTCTTCCCTACATACGCTTCTGGACCTCGAGACTTCCTAAGATTTAACTCCACTCGGCGCACCTACTTTCAAAGTGCAGCTTGTAAAATACCACACTTCATTTCTGGCTTCTGAACAGAGAGGGCGCATGCAGGTTAGAAGGGCCTCAGCAGAAAGGGAGAGAGCACTGCCCTCGGCCCACCTCAGCTGAACCTCTCACCAACCAGCCAAGGCGCAAGCAAGGAGGCTGCTCCCCAGACAAGCCCAGAACTCTGCAGCAAACACGGACACTAACATGCTCACTGATGGTGCATTTCCCATTCCGCCCTTGCCTGCCAAGTGGGCAAAGATGAGAGGTTACCACGTGAAAATGTGAACGAACTCAAGCCAGTCCTGACTCAGAAGCTGTCAGGAGGAGCAGGGAGGCCTCTCAGGTGCTTATTCAAAAGGAAGCAGTGCAGCTGACCACCCGACACCTTTATGTTCCTAGGATGTCTTTTTTAAAAAATGCATCTATCTGTTAGCAGCCTTCTTTCCATCTATTTCCTGTTTCTGTGGCTGAATTTCTTTTCTTTTAAATCTTCCATTACACATTTGCCAGCCTGGGGGGGAGGGTACTAAATTTAGTATAAGTGCTCTGTCTTCCCAGAGTCCTAAGGAGTCTGCCTGAAGTGCCTGCCTCTGGCTGTAAAGGGTAAATCCAAAGCTTCCCCAGTGGTTTCCGGCCCACATGACAACGTGCATGTGTATCTGGGAGGCTGTCTCTTGGCTATAATTGGTAGTTTTCTTGTAGCTAGTTTTGAAGAAAGAATTGCAGAGAGCTTTGTGTCTGCGAACAGCTATTAGTGTGGACCTCAGAAACAGCAGGGCAGGAAGCAAAGTCTACACGTTGGGAGTGTTTGCCAAGGTGACCTCTAAGCCCTGCAACCTGTACCCCTGACGCTGCTGGAATCAGCTCTTCTTGCAGAAATCAGGCCGATGACTTCCTGCTTGTCCCAGGGCTAGGCAGAGGTGAGGGGCTCCTGCCCACTCTTAAATAATTCTGAGCAAAGACACTGTTGATCATATCTTGGTGTCCTCCAGTTTATCCCCCCACACTGCTGGCCTACAGTCAGGGAAAGGCCAGATCACACAGTTTCCAGGGGCGCTCTGGTCAGGAGTTCACATCATGGACAGTTGTGAAATGTG